CCCACACAGCTCTTTCCTTCTTCTGACAGAACACAGCCCTCCTCACCATCACCCCTATAAGTGGTTGGTGCCCAGTGGGTGTCAGGAGCTTGGAAAACCGCAGGTCAACAGGCCCATCTTCCCCTGGTGTCAGTTTCACTGGAAAAGTTCTTGGGGGAGAAATTACATATAATAGGAAGTACACTTTGAGGACTAGTGTTCTTTATCTTTCAGATGAATGCAAAGAACTTCTTGCTTGCAATAGCTGTTTCCAGAGACAGCCCTGGACCTCCTAGAGGAGGCTCAGTCTCCTCCACAGGCTGTGGCGATTACTGTGGAAATCTAACCCCCATTATCTGGAAGGCTCTTGGGTATCTACCATATGCCCCAGGACAATGTACCATGCTGTTGTTTTTCTCACGTATTGTTGGGAACCTTTTCTTTATGTCTTATCTACCCTGTTAGGTTACACCCTCCTTGAAGCTCCTGTCATAATAACAGCCAAGTACTTACTGCGATCCAGAAGTAGGGCTGGCTGAGACTGGGGCAAGCGAGGTACTTAGCAGACAGAATTTAAGGCACGCCCTGGTGCCGACCCTGCACTCAGGAGACCCTGAGAGAGCGCCTCATTGAATTTTTTGCATCGTTATTTCTTTGCTTGCCTCACCTTGGTTCTGCCCTGGCTTCATTCTTTGCATGCATTTTCTCATGTAAACTTCACAACAGTCTTATTTTACAGATGGGGACAATCTGAAGCACACGATGGTGGTTAAGAAGCTTGCCCAAGGTCCCATGGCTGGCTCCAGCATATTGATGGTTGACAGACATGACTTCCTTCGGTTTTATGAGAGCCCGAGAGGTAATTGTATGATATTGGTTCATGAGAGCTGATTGCTAAATTTCCAGGAATATTGAGAACTGGTTGTGAAACACAGTCATTGTTAAATAGTAAGTTATACAAACTGATAATTAAATACATTATATTAAAAGTGAGTATAATATATACCCCCAACTCTTCACTTCCTAATTCTGATTCTACAGGATTGGGATCAAATCTTGGCTTTGCCTCTTCCCAGCTTCGTGACTTCTTCATAGTGAAAGCCACAAAGGAGTGCAGAGTGCTGTGAAGAGTGGAGGATTTGAAACCAGGCCCTCTAGATTCAAGTCCCAGATTCACTCCTATTATCTGTGTCAGTTTTCCCATCTGTAAATTGGGAGCAACTATTCTTGGTGTCAGCTTTCTCCCTGGCAAATTGGGAGCAATTTATAGATGAGAAAACTGACACTGATGGTAGTATCTGTTGTATCTCTCACATGCTTTTGAACATATGGCTTTTGAACGTATGCTGAATACTTGCTATGTGCCAAGCATTGTTCTAAGCCCCTGGCTTATATTTTCTTATTAATGTTCCAGTAACTCAATGAGATAAGTATTGTGCTCCCGTTTTCAGATGGGGAAATAGCCTCAGCAGAATTGAATACCTTTCCCAAGATCACACAGCTGGCAGGTGGCAAAGCCAGGAGTCCATCTCACACAGCCCCTTGGACCTAGGAGATGCTCAGTAACTGTTAATTGGTCTGAACAGGCAGGGGGCAGAATCCAGACCCTGCACCCAAACCTGCCCGTGCTGCCTGTGCTGCCTGTCCAAGGGCAAGGCACAGGCAGCTGCTGCTTTGGAGTGAAAACCCTTCTCTGTGGGGTGGGAAGAGACCGGCTCCTCCCTGTGCCAGCCGGAAGCCATCTCTTCCGGGCATTCTCCAGGGCGGATATGTTGTAGGAAACAGCCATGAGGCTGCAAGGAAGAAAAACACCCGCTTCCCATGCTCCCAGCATGGTGGTGGAAAGCTCCAGGTTTGAGCTCCGAGACCTCTCCCTGGATTCCAGAAGAAGCAGGCTTCCTACTGGGGCCAAGCCACCTCTGTATCCCACAGGCCTAGAGGGGTTTGACGAGAGAGGCTGTTGCTTTGAGGCTGAGGTGGCAGTGGGCCTGCAAGAGAGAACTTGGCTTTGGGCAGCAGACGAGCCTGGGTTTGAATCTCACCTCTGCCTCTTACAAGCTGGATGTCCTCGGTTAAGTTCTCTGAGCCTCAGTTTTCCCATCTGTAAAACAGGAGAATACCCACCTTAGGGACTGTTATGGAACTTCAGTTTAAAAATTAAAGAGTGTGTATACAGCCTATGAGACATAAATGGCAGAAGGAAAGGATTAAGTGTTAAGTGAATAAATACCAACAGCAGTTGTGTGCCAGACACTGTGCTGGGCAAGGGGTGGGTAAGAGTTCTATCTCCAGACTCTGCAGAAGCAGAGAGATGAACCAGGAGAGAAGGTGATGGGGACGTGTGCTGCGGCAGTGGCGTCAGGAAGGAGCAGCGAACATGGGGCGGATGGCTCCTGCCTTTCCCTGCCCAGGCACTTGCTGAACAAGGAATTGTTGAGACCTACTACGTGCCTGTGGGTTTCATGGGGGATGCAGCTATAAATCCAGTCCAGAAACAACACAGTTCCCCCCTCAGAAACAGGACTAATAGGCATGAAAAGTTAAATGACAATACAGGCAATAAAATCTTATTAGAGACCAAGGTACAAGAAATCACAGAATGAGGAATGCAGCACTTGTCCACTTGAAAGAAACGGTGGGCGTGAGGGCCTCTAGTTCAGACTTGCAGGTGAGGGGCTTCCGAGAAGGCCTGAGTTTTTCTCCACCTCCACCAGGTGGAGGATTGAGGAGGGGCCCAGATCGAGTTTACCATCTGCTGTTGTAAAGATGCTCCATGTGTCCCAGCTGTTCTTCCCCACTGTAGCCTAGCTGCATCTCTGCATCTGCTGCTTGGGCGCAGAGCCGAAGCACCACCAGACCCGTCTCCATGGGACCACAAAGCCAAGCCCCGATGCCGACTTGTCAGTTCCTCACTCATGCCCTCCTGGCCTGCTGGGGACTTGCAAGGGAGGGAGTGTAGGATGTCAGGGAGCAAGGCAGGCACTGAAATCCTTTGTGGGGTTAGGGGTTTGGATAGAAGTTGGTCCTTTGTCACATAGCTACCCTATCCTCTGCCGACTCCTCTTCTAAGATTCCTCCTCAGTTGAGTCAGGTTGATCTCCCTGACTGTTGAAGACAGAGTTTGGAGGTAGCATGAGGCTGGCAAATCAGAAAGTGAGGTCCCCCAAACTGCCCAGCCCTGGCCCCATAAGTCCCCAGCAGAAGGGTCCTTCTTGCTTCCTCAGAGGTGTGGGTGCGTTCCTGTGGCTCCCCTCCCCTTCCCTTTGTATGAAGTGAGTTTCTCCTACAGCATGTTGTCTGCTGTGACAGTGTTGATGTTTGGAGACACAGTCTCTCGACAGGTGTGCCTTTACGTTTTACTGAGAGGCACCTTTTCTCCCCACCCAGGAACAACAAATTGATAATAAGCAATAAAAGAGACAGCATAATGATATCCTACCTGAAGATAGTCTACGTCCAGATGACATTAAAAAAGGACTTGTTTTTACTATCAGAGGGTATAGGATGAGCAGCTGAAATGCCAAGTCCACCTGACAGTGGAGGGTGAGGTGGTGCCTGGCATGGCCCCCAGTCTTTGTACCTCCCATGTTCACACCTGCGTCTACAGCATCGTTTTGTGGCCCTGCAGAGCCTGTCTTCACACGGGGGTGTTTCCTCATGTGCGTTTTCACGTTACAGATCACATTACTCTTGGAGAAGGTAACTCATTTTGGAAGAAACAGGCTGACCCCCACCCTGCTCCTCCTGTGGGGGGATGGGAAGGAGGGCAGCAGAGATTGGTGAGCCCAAGTGTGAGCTCTGAGGTCAGAAAGCCTGGGGTTCAAGTCTGACCTTGCTCCTTTGCTCCTTGCACAACCTCGGGGAAGGCACTTGACGTCGTTGAGCCTCAGTATCCTTATCTGTGAAATGGGAATAATAATAATAACGTATGATGTCATGGAGAGGTTATGTGAATTACATGAGGTTATGAGTAGTTGGAGGGTGAGGAACCTGGAGCAGGAGTCTGTGTGGAGGCTTCTGGGCCATTTTGTGCTGTGTGATTCTGGGCAAATTACCAAACCTCCGGAGCTTTGCTCATATCTGCGGTGGTGATGGAGTCAGGGGACACACATGACCCATTTTAAAGAATTGCCATGAGTTTTGGACAGGTCAGTGGGGTCTCAGCAAGATGAGGAGCTCACGGTAGATGCTCAGTAACTACTGCCAGTATGGTGGCCATGGTGGGCTATGGTGGGCTGTGGTTGGGGGTGGGGGAGAACAAGAACACGACATCCTTTCCCATCTGAATCTTTCTGTGTTTCTCTCAGGAAGCCGGCTCCTGGGGCAAGGAGCAGGCCCCCAAGCCAGGCAGGTGCTGCTCCTCTCATGGTCCAGCCCTCCCAGTGGCATCCTCTCTGCTCCTTTGCCCACATCAGTGGTGCCATCAGTCACTCTGGGTGGGTCCATGTGCCCCAGCCATGACAAAACACTAATTTCACAGCCTTGTCAGTTTGGAAGCAAAAACTCCCTGGCTCTGGGACTGTGGGGCCACATCCTGCTACCACCTGGCCATGCCTCCTTTCCTAAACTATCCTCACTAACCCGGAACACTTGGGAATCTCTTGTCTCCGGCACATCCTCAGCCGTCTCCCACCCCCTTGTTGGAACGGTGGTTAATTAAGGGTCTGTCAATCATGGAAACCAGATATCGGATGACTGGAGAGGGCTGTATATTCAGTCCTTTTCCTTAAGGCCCATCTGGGCTGGTTTTCTAGGCGCTCAGTGACATTCACTGCCTGTCTTCTTGTCCACTACGGTGACCACACTGAGGCTGGTGACCAGCTGTTCTCCATCTCCTGGGGAGCTTTGGCTGCAGTGGACAGCCATGTCTGAGAGAGGCCAAAGGGAAAGAGGCCACCAGCTTGTTGGGCTGCAGTGAAACCTCTAGCCCTAGAGGTCTTTCACAAACAGGATAGAGTTTCATCTCTCTGGAATGTGTTAGGGCAGGAAGGCGTACCCTGTCCTCTCTTCCTAGATGAAATCTGTCTTCCAGGAAGGAATGGGCCCCGCTTCTGAGCTGCATAGAACTCCACAGAATTACATGAACAGAGAGAAACTCGTGGCCCTGAATGTCTTGAATGAGTATCTGTCTCCTGGTACGTGTTTATTTCTTTAACTCCCTTGAAGGTGAGGCCCATGTCCCATTGAGATCCACGCGTCACTTACCGCAGTGCTGCGTGCTTAGTAAGCATCTACTGAGGACTTGTAATACTTAGGTGGCTGCCACTTAGGGGAGAAGAGAGCTTGAGAAAATGTGCCATGGGGCAGGTAGGTTTTGAAGAAGCCAGTAAAGGCTGGGGGTTTGGGGTGTAGCCTAAGAAAGGTGGGGTCCACATTGGGGGCAGGGCGATGGAGCTCTGAGCTGGAACAGCCAGAGAATGTAGTAGCCTGTAGAGGAAGGGCTGGGGTGGAGAGAAGAGGCATTGGGACAAAGGAAACAATTGGCTTACTCAGAGCTTTGTTGAGAACCATTCCTGGAATCCCCCCACGTGGTCCTTCTCTTTGTGTCAGTGAGAGGTTCAGACTGGGTAGGACTCTGTTGACCTCTAGTTGGGTGGAAACATGAATGAGATGTGGCATCAGGAGAGATGGGGAAGTGGGTGTGTGGGGCCCCCAAAATGAGCTCCCTGGCCAGCAGGAGCATGGGGTGCATGGGGGGACTTACTTTCTAAGTCCAGAGTGTTTCCTGGGGCCACTCTGTCCCATCGCTACACGAGAAGCCCTTTTTCTCTGTTCTGTGATGATGATGATGATGATGATGATGATGATAATGATGATGTAGAAACAAGAGCAGCAGCAGTACTTTGCATTTCTATGATGTTTCATAGTTTACAAAGGGCTTTCACATCTATTAGCTCATGAGCTGGGAGAGGGTTGAGGAATTCAGTTGCCTCCACCCCATGTTCTCCCAGGAGGGCCTTAACACTGACCCTCCCACACCTCTCCTCCCTGTTTCTGAGACAGACCTTACCGGATGTGCTGCCATGCACGGCTTTTGTGCAGGGTGAGAGGAGGGGCTATGGCTCTGGGAGGGGGTTCCTCCCAGCAACCCCTCTTCCTTCCCTTAATCCTGCTCCCCTCTCCTTCCCAGACCCCCTCCTCCTGTGACTCCCAGCCAGAGGTGCTCTAAGCTAGGAGGGGGACCAGAGCTCCTGGTACCTTTATGACCTCACAGTAAACCCTGTTTATTTCCTCACCTGTCTTACCTACCACATCCATCCATGGCTTTCCAGTCTTGCTCTGCCAGGGGCTCTGCAGGTCCATCAGCCTCATGAGGCAAAGGTCAGTACTGTCTCCCACACCGACTCAGGTCTCAGCTTCCTTCCTGCCAGATGGCCCAGATGGCAGCCCCAGTCCTGGCCTGGATAAATGCTCAGGTCTTTCCCTGTGAGCAGACCAGTCTTTCCTACTTGAGGATTCTAGATTCGGAAACTCCAGCCAACACCGGCAGACTGGGGGCCAGGGAAGTGACAGAGGCAGAAGGAAGGTGTGCAGAAGTCCAGAAGACAAATGTTTTCCCTAAGGAAACTGGGGCATGGACTCAAGAACAAGATCGGTTCTCTGTGAATCATTCACAGAACAGGGGAAAACAGCTTCTCACGTAGAGATGGGACAGAGTGGGCTAACAAGAAACACTCTGGACTTAGAGGGTAGGGTGAGGAAAAGTCATCTGGGCACCAATTTGCAGATAATACACAAATACATTTGATGTATATGACCCTGAACTAAAAAGACTGATACATGAGGACATGGATATATTTTAGAGCCAGTAGACTCACCTAGAATCTCCAGGCGAGGCTCTGTAAGTGTGTGTTAGATGGTTCCACCTATTAAAAAATGTGAGATTACAACATGGATCCAGCAGACAATGTCCTTTAGGGGCCACAAGAAGGAGGTATGGGGAACTGTGAGTATACCAATCAAGCATAATAAAAAGTAGGGAGGCCCATACTGTACAGGAAGAGTGATGAAGGGTCCATGTACCTTATGGAGAAACGAATGTCATCGACTGGAATCAGCTGAGCATTTTCCTGATCAGAGTCAGTGGGGATGTTGAAAATAACATACAGTCAGCTTTCCTGGGATGCATCTAGTGTACAAAAATGAAGTCAGTGTGTGTGTGGTGATGCTGTGGTCGCTACCACAAAATCTCGGTGGCTCACAATAACTAAGGTTAATTTTCATTTGTACCACATGTCTGTGGTGTCTTGGCTGTAGGTCTGCTCAGTGGTTTTCACTCCTGGGCTGCTGGAGGGACACTGGGACTCCTTGGTCTGGGACACTGATGGTTTCATAGCAGAGGGAAAAGAGACTGATGTGATGAATCACTACCTGATCCTTACAACTTCTGTTTGGAAGTGACACCTGTCACTTATTCATATTTCATTGGCCAAAGCAAGTCACATGGCCAAGACTGAACTACCCTGGGAGAGGGAAATACAATCCTCTTCTGATAAGCAATAAACAGGCCTTCCCCATCTAGGTCCTTAGAGCCAGGTCTGCTTTAGGCCACTTGGGGTCCAGCCTTACCAGTTCTTGTGAGGTGTAGAGCCCTCAGCATCCAGCAGTGGACAACTGTCTTGGGAGGGAGTTATAAGCCAGTCACAGGAACATAAGCTCCACAAGGGATGAGTCTTGGTCTGTTTTGTTCACTGCTGTACTCCAAGAGCCAAGAATATGCCCTTCAACATATATTTGTTGCTGAATGAATTATAAATGGGTTTAAGATGCAATTTGACCCTTCCTGCCTCAGCCAAGGAGTATCTGCGTCCCGCGCTCTGATATCATTGGGTGTGGAGATGGACACACTCAGAGAAGTTGTAGCTCTCTCATGGAACCAGAGGAGTAGGGACTTTACCTTCTGTCTTGGGATGCTGTTTTCAGCCCCGGTCTTGGTTCAGCCCAGGAATCAGCAAACTTTTCCTGTGAAGGGCAGAGAGTAAATATTTCAGGCTCGGCAGGCTGTATGTATCATGTGGTCCCTATCACAACTACTGTTTCTAGTGCAAGTCTGTTGTAGTGCAAAACAAAAAAAAGAAGTGATCAATGTAAGTGATCAGTGAGGGTGGCTATGTTCCAATAAGACTTTATTTGCAAAGACAGGCAGAGGGCCAGAATGGGCTGGTGGGTCATAGTTGTCTACCCCTAGTCTAGCCACAGGGTTGGATCCTGAAGTTCTTGCTTTCCCCAGTGTCCTTTTTGAGGGACCCTGTTAGGGTCATACACTTATCATTCTCATTTCCGTAAAATGAAGTGCCACACTATTGTGGCTTCGAGACCTCCTGACATCTGCTGGGAGTGTTTATTTTCTGCTTTGGTTTAGTTTCCTCTAGGTCACGTCCATTCCCAAACTTGCCTGGCCTGGCTAGGTTTGGGGTCTCACTGTGCTGGTGTAAGTCTCAGGTGCTCCACTCTAAGGGTACCTCCATCTGTCTTGCTTTGGGGCCTGAGTTCACACACCCTGATTGACTTCTCCAAGAAGTCCCTGGGCGATAGGGAAAGAGAAGGGCATGTGGCTGAGTGAGGCGGGAGGAGCTCACCTCTCCTCTCAGGGTTCAGTTGATCTGAGAAGTAGAGAGATCTATTTTCTTAGGGATGTGGCTCAGCTATTTTCATTTCATGGAACCTGATGCCTCAGATTCACAGATTTTTTTTTCAGGCTGGAATGCCTCTGGTGTAATATGACAATCTGAAGAGTATTAGCCGGTCACCCCCTCTTTCTGGGTCAGTACCAGACTTATGTAATTAGAAGTCCAAAGAGGAGACAGGCAGACAGTTAGACTCACTCCAGCCAACAGCCTTCCCCCGCAGCCTTTTAGCTGGTCATTACAGAAGTTTAGAACACAAAGAGACCTTGCACCTAATGAACTCTCGTCCATCTGGTTCCAACTGGATATTTGAACATCATGAGGACCAAAACGCAACCCTCTCATCCTAGGTGTCAAAGCCAGAGCTTAAGGCCCCTTGGGCACTCCAGATCCTTCATCAGACTTCCAGACTGCTGCCCACCACCCCTCCCCATCCCCTCCAACAAGATAAACACATCTGCAACCCCATCCTGAGGGAGCGGGAGGGAAGGAAGGAGGGAGGAGGGAGCCTCCCCAGTGCAGACAATCAGAGACTTGGCCTTGACTTTGTTGGGTTGTTAAGATAGGACCGCCTCCCTTCTCCAGCTGGCGGGAGCAGTGACCCCAGGGAGCTCAAGGCACAGGGGAGGAGGAGCTGGCCAGGGAGAAAAGATAAAGGAGAAAAGGGGAGGAGTCTGGCTAGCTCTCACCTCCTGGCTGCTGTTCCAGCCAAGTGGCTGAGCTGGAGAAAGAGAACTGATAACAGATAAGGGTGCTGGCTTTCCTGTGGCCTTGTTTACACAAGCTTGGGTTCTAGCTGCTGGTCCCCGGGGGTGGATGGGGGTGGAGGAGCTATGTGGGCGGAGGGCAGTGTGAGGTTTCTGGACCCAGGCTTGCTTTCAGCTGGCCAAGGTCTGGGTGGCTTATAGATCTCCCCCTTACCTCCCACTCCTACCCCAGATGTCCTGCAGAAAGCCAGCAAGGCAAGGGCTTGAGCCCAGCTGTCAGACTTCACCTTGGAGTGGGGCTTTGCACCCCAAAAGCAGCTGGTATGGCAGCTCTGCCTCTCACCTGGCCTCCTGGGTATCTGGGAAAGGACTTCCAGCCACCATAGAGCCTCATGGTAACATGCTTAAGCTAAGACAAGGATTTCCTGCCTTACTTTTTTCTGTATTGCATTCCTCAGCCTCCCTGAAGGAAAGTGAGTCTGGACTGTTCTATATCTGAGGAGCTAAAAGCTATCAAAGAGCAATTGCTGTGTGCCAGATGCTGTGCTAGGGAGTAGGGATAGAGTAATGGACGAAATAGACACAGTCCATACCCTCATGGAGATCAGAAGCAGTTAAGTGGGGATGTATAATATAGCTCAGTGGTAGAGCTCAGGCTTAGCATGCACAAGGTCCTGGGTTCAATCCACTGTAAAAATTAAAAAAAATGTTTTAAAAAGGCATATGAATCATGGGCCAAGGCAGGACGTGCTATGGAAGCCCATGGCAGGGACCTAACCTTCCAGGTGGTCAGGGAAGACTTTCTAAAGCGTGAGCAGGATTGTCTTGATAATCCAGAGAAGTACAGAGAAAGAGCTTCCAGGCAGAGGCAGTACTGCAGATGAAAGCACTGAGGAAGTGAAAGAGAGTCGGGTATTTGGGACAGAAAGAAAGCACTGGTGTTCCGTGGGACCCCGAGGGAGAAGGAAGCAGTGGTGAGCGGTGGGGCTGCTGAGGCAGGCAGGGGCTGGATCATGGGGGGCAGATAGGAATAGGAACGGGGACCTGGAGGGAGGGAAAACGGGAGCAATGGTAGACTGGGACGGGATAGGGAGAACTTCAGAATACTTTCTTCCATGGAGAAATGAGAACCACAGTCAACCCTGAGATAGTCTTAGGTGGCAAGTCTTGGGGCAGAAACCTCATCAGCCTCACTTGGTTGCCTCCCAGTGTCGAGCTCAGCAAACGCTTGTGGGTTGGGGCTCCCTCCTATGGATGTTCCTCCCTGGTCCCTTAGCCTAGCCTTGGATGGTTTGGAGATGACACCAGGAGGGTGACGTTGTCTCGGGTGGTCAGCACATCCAAAACAGGATGGGCAGGATCCAGATTGAGGGTTGAGCTGTACCTTATCCAGGTAGGGCTTGAGTCTCTTGAAGCTGTCTACAGCTGCCTGCCTGCTCCATCTTGCCTTGTAGAGTGGCAGTTAGAAGAATTCAGTTGCTGAAGGCCAGCTCAACCCTTCCATGTGTGTGAGTTACCCTCAAGACCCCCCAGAAAGTCATTCATTTGCTCTCTAGTCATCCGTTCCTTCCTTCCATTCCATTCAATGGTTACTGAGTGCTTACTGACTCTGGCACTAGCACACAGCAGGTAACTTCATTGGCTCCAAGCTCCATCCTTGGTCCAGGAAGTCCCAGAGCTGGTAATATTAGGTTTAATGGGTCAGGGTACAGACTCCAATATCAGACTATTGGGATTCAAATTTTCTAACTAACTCAGTGACCTGGGGGCAATCACTCTTGCACCTAAGTTTCCTCAGCTGTAAAACAGGTAACAACAGTACCCATTGCATAGCTGTTGGGTTAAAGGAGAGTGTTCCTGTATAAGCTTTGTGCATAGTGAGCGGTCAGTGAACAGTAGTCACTACTGTTTATATACCTCAGCTGCTCACTCTGGGAGCAGGAAATTGTTAGGAAGGAATCTTTCTGATTGTTTTTTTAAACTAAGAAGGTAATACAACAATATTAAAGATATCTACTCCAACAGCAACTATTTTTACTCTTTATATTCACTTTCTAGTAGTTATTGTGAAATCACAGTAAAAAAAATCCAGAAGTCCATGGAAATTTATGCTTTCTTTTCTTTTCATCTGCTCCAGTAAACCTGCTATATATAGACTCAGGAAATGACCGTGGTATATGCCGTCCACCCCCACACCAAAGCCGAGAGGTGAGAACCCTGGACTTATATTTCTGTTCCATCCCTTCTGTCTTGTGTGACTGTAGATTTTCTTAAGCATCCTGGGACCTGTTTCTCCTCATCTGTTAAACAGAGGTAATAACACCCTCTGTGGGTTATGGGAAGTAGCACTAATGCAGGTACATAATAGAGGATTGGTAAATGCTGGCTCCCCGCCCCTCCCTCTGATTTAGTGTGGGGTTCAGAAAACGGGAGGTGCCAGGGATGTGGTCCCCAGCCTGGCCCAAGGCCACCTCCAGCCCTCCCACAGGAAGCCCCCTAAGCAACCTGAGAGGCTCTACTTCAAAGACTGGAGGTCAGCCCACGTCTGGTTCACTCTGCCGCCACTGCAGGGAAAGGAGGGGCCTCACCAGCTTCCCCAGGTCACCCAGTCTGCTGGCCCATTGGAGGGGAGCTGGGGGTGGGAGAAGCTGAGGAGGAACCTTTTCCTGAGACCCCCTGGGGGCTCCATCCTCTGTGGTCAGGATGGACTGACGACTACTGAGGAGAGAGGCTGTGGGATGTGTGGGTGGGTGAGCTGGGGATTGCAGAGTTCAGAAAGATCTGGTGGAACAAGCCAGGCACAATGAGAGAGGCGCTTCGATGTCTAAGACGGGGAGGGGGGTTGTGAAATCAGGGTGGTGGGAGGAACCTGGCTGAGTTACCGAAATCTCCCTCCACTCTCCCCCTAAATGGCCTTTGTCAAATACCAGAAAGAATATTGTGTTAATAATGAATAATTGCTTGTGTCTTTAGAACACTCCAAATCTCACCATTCATTTACATACATTTTCTTTAAGTATAGTTGATTTACAATGTTGGGTTAGTTTCTGGTGTACAGCAGTGATTCAGTTATAGATATATTCATTTTCATTATAAGTTATTATAAGATGTTGACTGTAGTTCCCTGTGCTCTACAGTAGGACCTTGTTGTTTGTCTATTTTACACACAGTTGTCTGTATCTGCTAATCCCAAACCCGTAATTTATCCCTCCCTGCCTTTCCCCTTTGGTAACCGTAAGTTTGTTTTCTATGTCTGTAGTCTCTGTTTTGTAAATAAGTTCATTTTTATCAATTTTTTTAGATTCCACATGTAAGTGATATATGATATTTGCCTTTCCCTGTCTGAGTTATTTCACTTAGTATGATAATCTCTGGGTCTATCCATGTTGCTGCAAATGGCATTATTTTATTCTTTTTATGGCTGAGTAATATTCCATTTTGTGTATCTTTATCTTTATCCAGTCATCTGTTGGTGGACATTTAGGTTGCTTCCATGTCTTGGCTATTGTAAATAGTGCTGCTATGGACATTGGGGTGCATGTATCTTTTCAAATTAGACTTTTCTCTAGATATATACCCAGGGGTAGTACATCCATTTTCTGATTTCAATCTCACACAGAGGCAGAAAGGGAGATAATATTCCTATTTGGCAGATGAGAAAACTGAGGCTTATAGGGGCTGAGGAATTTGACCAAAGTCACATGGCTACCGAGCTGGAATGTAAAGTCAGCAGGCCTTCTAATCAACTATATTTCAATTAAAAAAAAAAAAAGGCAAAGCCAGGCTTTCTAGTGCCACGGTACCCGCAGCAAGGGGTGAGTAGGAGTTCACCAGGCAAATAGTGATTTGGCTACTTGAATAATTTAGAACTTTCTTCAGTTAGAAAATAAAAAGTACTGTCTGTCTTCTATCCCTTTTCTGATTCATCGGCTTCTTTGCTGACTTGGGAGCTGAATCCCAACGGGGAGAAGCTTTCCTGGGAAGAGAGGTACATACAGTACCCTGTAGCCAGAGGGATTTACAGCAGCCCTGCCGAAGGATTTTCAGAGCTGCTTGCTAATAGGTGACTAATTGAGGTTACAAAATCACACTGTCTGGACATCAGCTGTCACCAAGAAGATTAAGGGCCTCTCATCCATTTAGTCTGGATCTAAGAGATCACACTAACTGTGAACATGGGGCCCTGGGAAGCCCTTATACCTCTCAGGGGCTCAGTTTCTTCTTCTGTAAATGGATGAAACTTGTTCTCCACCTCCCCCCACCAACCATCCCAATCACCTTAACTTGACTTTCTATGTGCAGGTTGGTGGAGCAAATGTTTCTTGAGCTCCTGGACACTAGTCTGGCTCTGCTATTGCCAAACGGTGGCCCTACACCTGTTGCTTAGCCTCTCTGGGTCACGACTGCCTTAAATGTAAAATCCTGGGGGCGGCTCTTTGAGGTCCTTCCAGCTCCAGTGTCCTCTGCAGAAATCATTCACCAGGGGTGGGCCAGGAAGACTGGTAGGAAAGTGCAGCCTAGGGGTTTGCCTGGGTGGTCTGAGTGAGGGGACCGAGTGGGTGAGCAGGGGGGTCACAGAAGCCAGCCGAGAGGCAGGAGTCAGGGAAGAGGGCCTGGAAGAGCTGAGCTGAGAGTTGAGGGTTGTGAAGAGTGAATCAGAGGGCCTGGCTGCCCTCTCAAGCCTTGCTCATCCTCCTAGGCCGTCTCAAAAGAGGTCTTAAGGCCCAGATCCAGGGTCTCTGTGGAGACCCTCTGAGGAGGCTGGAGGTAGCAACATGACCCCTGTTCAGTGAGACAGGCCCCCTTGCCTCAAAGGCTTACCTGGCCAGCTCTCTGCTGAGCAGCTCTGTCTAAGGCAGGCGAGGAGGAGAGAACCCCCGTAGCTTCACCCTGCTGTGGAGGCCAGCACAGCCAGGCTAGTGTGGGATTAAAGCTAAGCTTTCGGGGCAAACAGTATCTTTGCTCTCTGGTGTTTGGATGCTGGCATGGAGGAAAGGCGGGGTCCATAGGCAGCCAGTGGTGTCCAGAGCAGTCCCTGTGTGTTATCTCGGGGCAGGGCAGTCAAGGGGGAGGGGGAGGCACGCAGGCCTGCAGATAATGGCCAAACGGTTCACTCCAGCTGTCTGGGCTCTCTCGCATCAGGGCCACGGCCTTTCTTTGTATAAGTACCCAGGAGCCATCTCTAGTCCAGCTGCCTTGGGAGGCCCAGAAGCTCATCATTCTTTTTTGGATCCGGGTGTGGAGTGGAGAGGTCTTGTGGCTCTGGCCTCCTGACAGATAATGGGACCCGAGTTTCAGTTCTTGCTACTCAAGTCTGGCAAACCCAGTGTCCCTTCTGTGACTTGGTGTCTCCACCTTTGAAAGAAGGAGAAGGGTCCCTTGGGCCACCCCTCTCCCTTTGGCTCAGGAGGGTATCATGAGGATACATGAGGTCCTGTTTGTCACAGAGCCATGAGTCCTTAGTGAGGTCCTGGGAAAATCTGGAGGTTTGAGGTTCCAGAAAAGCCCGATGGTGTTATTACTCATTAAGCCCTGGCCACCGCGCTGATGCCAGGCGGGACGTGGTTAGCCAGGCCCAGACGGAGCAGGAAGCCAAGTGCATTCCTTTTTTTTCTTTTCTGAGCACAACCTCAAAAACCTGGGGCTCTCAGTCCTCGGAGTCAGCTGATACCCTTGCTTAACAGCCAGGATAGAGATGAGGGTGGTGTTGGTTTCTGCATCAGAGCCCCTGAGTCTTCCTGGGAGATGACACATGGCTGCTACTAGCCCCACAGGCCATCACCTGAAAAGTGTGACTGTGGGGTCATTGGCCCCGAGAGTTCAGCAGCCTCTGCGATGGGAGGGTGGGAGGTGGGGGATCTTGCAAAAGGTGTCCCCTAGCAGCTGGAGACCAGTGACTGAAACCTGGAGTCTGAAGGCAGATCCTGGCTGTGCTGCACACCAACCACGTGACCTTTGTCACACACGAAGCTCTCTGTGCCTCAGTTTTTACATCTGTAAAAACCAGCACCACAACGACATGTGCCTTGTGTGGTTGTTGCAAGAACAAAACATGATCTAGAATATTAATGGTCATAGTGGAACATTTGGCACGTCAAAATACGCAGTAAACGTTACAGAAGGGAGAGAAGATAGACGGTGAGGTTAAGATAAGCAGAGAGAGAGCATTTCCTAATCTTGGGATGCCATGAACTGAAAACAGCATGGGGTGCACATCCAACAATGACGTGGCTGAAGACATCAGTCCGGGGGTGTCTGAACCAGGCAAAAGTGTCCTTTGGATAAACTTATTGGGGATTAAGGGACCAGAGGTTGTGGAGTAGGAGAAGCTCCCCAGAGGGATCGTTCCTCTTTTCTCCAGAGCCAGCAAACAGTTCAGCTCTTGAATGTCCAGAGTCCAGAGGTCTTTGGGGGCAGCTGTGGGGCGAGAGGGCAAGTTCTGTGGTCAGAGCCCAAAGTTGGGTGGGCATAGAGGCTTCTGTTCTCCTGGAAACTGTTACATCACCTGGAACAAATTTCTCAACCAATCATCTCTGGGCAAAGAGTGAGGCTGCAGACAATAGGTCTTGTTGCTTCCAAGCATGTGACCTTGAGCATGTCATTTGACCTTGCACATCCACGGGTGCTCATCTGTGATGGGGTCATAACCAAGCCACCTTAGGAGTGGCTAGGAGGATGGAATGACATCACCATGGAAGGGTGGTTTGGAGGAGCAGCCTACGCTCATGGGCTGGCCGCCACCCGGAGAAGGCAGGTGAGCAGAAGGTAATTTTAGGATCTTCCCCATCCCAAATACGGCCTTCAGGAAGTTTAGATCGAGGGTAGGTGGGGCCACCAGCTCAGTGGGCAAGGTTTAACAGGAAGGAAGGTTCTCAGTTAAACTCTCCAAGAACTTTTTGGTGCCACCTTAAGAGAACTTGGTTTGTAGCCTTGGCTCCTCTGTAAATTGGGCAAGTCCTAAACCCCCTTCCCAACAGAAGGAACAAATGAGAATTAATTAGTAAACGTGGCTGTCAAACACAGTCGGTGTTATTATTAACTTAATGTGTTTGTTTAAAAGGGGAGGCAGGCTTGCTTCAGTCCAGGCATGTGAGCGGCCCGCCAGCCAGGTTTGCTGGGAAATCCTGTAGATTGTTTCCACATGGGAGTTTGCAGCGCACATAATTAGTTGCAGCGGTGGAAGGCCTTGGAGGCAAGGGATGAGGGGT